TGTTTATTGGCTTATGTTAAATAAAAATAATATTGAGTGTTAAAGGCCTATGTTAATGTCAAAATATAAATAAAACATACAAGTGAATGTTCGTGTACCGTTGTATTTCATCAATAGGCCTAATTAGGTGCTAATTCTTAACTGACCCAAACAAACATGTAGTGTACAGAAAACAGTATTCAATTCTTATATTCGGACATTTATTTATCCATCGACAAAAAAAAACCAAATATATGCTCTATACACATGCTACAGGCCGCTTTAAATACATGAGTCTAGGATTCGGGGCTAGATTCTGATAGATAAAAGTTAAACTATGATAGTAAAAACTATCCCCCGCCGGACACCATCCCGGTATATAAGTTAAGTTGAAGGAAATGAAATAAATATTTACACTGTTCACTTTGTTTCGTATCGATATTTCACTTTGTCATGAACGGAAATAAACTGTTTGAAATAGGCATATACCACCAGTTTGCATTACTGCAAATTGCCTAGTAACAGTGAATTCAGTGAGAAACGTTCCCACACAAGAAGGTTCCCACGATCAGGAGAAGCATGAGAGAAGCAGACACAAGGTCAACCACATACAGTAGTCTTCTCTTTAAACGCCGCCAACTCAGGAATGTAGACGCTCTAGTGTCTAATCTGATTCTTTGAACGCCGCCTTCAAGAATGTAAACGCGCTGCTGCTCCGCAAGAAGGGAATAGCCGACTGCCTTGTTCAGCAATATAAACATGTGCCATGGTTTAACCATTTTTAAAACATAATAATATATAATAATACAAACATGTATTAAATTCATATAGCTTACACAGTAAAACACAATGCCGTAGCAACGTTGTTCTACGTGCGATATCACGTGGCATCACATGATCGCCACAACGAACTTCTTCAACTGCAGCTGATCCAAGTCAGTGTTTATCATGCTGTATTGTGTGGGCTGTGCAGGCACGTGGGAATTAGAAAGTTGGGCAAAAGGTACTTGTTTTGATAGGTCAATTCGAACATCGCACAATATAATAAATATATATATATAATAAATATATATATAACAATATATATAACTTCATATAGCCTACACAGTAAAACACAATGCCGTAGCATTCCGCAAACTCAGGGATGTAGACGCTCTAGTGTCTGATCTGATTCTTTGAACGCCGCCTTCAGGAATGTAAACGCGCTGCTCCTCCGCAAGAAAGGAATAGCCGACTGCCTTGTTCAGCAATATAAACATGTGCCATGGTTTAACCATTTTTAAAACATAATAATATAAATAATAATACAAACATGTATTAAATTCATATAGCCTACAAAGTAAAACACAATGCCGTAGCATACGTTGTTCTACGTGTTCTAGGTCAATTCGAACATCGCACAATATAATCTGGGTAGCAAGGTTACTGGCGATTGCTTTCTCTTCTATAAAACCTACAGGTAACGGTAGGGCCTAGCCTACTAAAATACAAGAAACATTGGGGTTTCCCCAACAAGAAAAATAATTAAATTTAGGCCTTTATTATAAACATTTCTTCGTGAACTGTCACCTGGCGTAGGCTAGCATTTTACTACCAGGCTACTACTACAGTATTATAACTATAGGCCTAGGCCTACATAGCCTAGGTACGGTAGGGACACTGAACAAGTTTTGAAGTTGTTTAAATCACGATCAAATTCAAAATTTCGCTGAACGCGTTTAACATTTTGCTATTCACGAGCAGTCAGCCATATGAAAAGGGGAGGAGTTAACTTCCAAACGGAATAAACGGCTCGAACGACAAGCTTCCAAACGGCATTTCACAGACGCGTTTGGGAGCTTGTCATATAACAATAGTAAACGTGTTTGACCCGTTTCTGTCGTTGGGGATAATTTGTAGATCACGCCTAACCTAAATACATACATTTCTATGAGCCTATATGCAATTTGTGATTTTCATAAAATTTAGTTTGGATAATAATGATATATGGGCTGAGTATTTGATTCATTCCTACGGTTCCTGCCTCTAACATTTGTTGCAGCTGCGGGCCTGGGTTCAAGACCTGGCTTTGCAGTGTCGCAACATTCAGCTTCTTGAATAACCGTCACTAGTGAGTTAGGCGAGATAAGTGTCACATTTGTATCTATTTGTATGCATTAAATGCATAAAAAAAACCATTTTGAGACCATTTAGAAGCTTCTATCATCAGTGGTTGCCGAGACATAGGCACCAATATCACAAACCGCAATTTTTTTTAAAGCGCCCCCAACGAGTGAAAAACGCATCTACAAGTTGGACAATAAGCTGAAAATTGTTCCTTGTGGTGTCATTGAACAAATAAAAGTATAAAATCAGACTTGGCTAAATAATTGAAGTAAAATACAAATGCTTCCTGACTAACTAGGCCTACATACTACAATACAAAATGAAAAGTCAAAACCCGCCATATAGATCACGTGATTAACGTTCCCACCCACCAGGCTCCAAGTTTAGGATGGACCAGCTATAGCCTATAGCATAGCCTAGGCCAAGCCTAGCTAGCACAGATACCACCATGACCTAAAATCCGATTTTTAGACCAGATTTTTATACCAAATTGTACTCATGCAAATAGACCTGAAATTCTTACCTTCGAAATTTTGCAAAAATCTTTCCAAACCCCATTCCAAAAGCTTTGTTTTAACAAAATCCATCGTAACTAAATACTTGTCTTCCTTCTCTTGGACAGCGGCCGTTAAGAATGTCCGAATAGTGCGCGCCAATGATCAATCACTCTACACTCCACTTGTCAAAAGTTGACATTCCATGTTTCTACTGCGCATGACCGCAAATAGATTTTTCAACGGAGGTTAAAAAATAAATAGGCCTACATCAAAAACAACACCCATGGTTGGTTGTAGGCGAGGGGGTGGGGGAGGGGGAACTGCCCTGAAGAAATAATTTACGATTAAGTTTACGCCTTGGTTTACACTCATTCATATAAAATTAAAATACAGTATCATGTACGGAACTGTGTCCTCTTCCTTGTTGTCTTCATTTCGTGAATCTCATGTTTGATGTGTGGCCTGCTCTGGACAATGAATAAAACTTATGACTTGCTTAATGAATTTTTTAAACCTCTTTGGGTTATGAAAATAACTTTCATTTTTTTTTTTTCTTTAATCCTTTGCCTGGTGGTATGAGTCTGAAAATTCAGATCTGAAATTTGATTGCCAAATGAGATGACGTGATATGTGTTGACACGGAGCCGGATCATCACTGGATCATCATCGGATCAATGAAACTGCGAGTTAACAAACAAAAATGACCAGATCCATGTAAAAAACGACTAAATTCTAGTCAAAAATATTTAATTAGAAAATCTGGTTATTTTTTTTTACCAGGTTGTTTTTAGAGTGTAATCTTCATGCGTTCTAGTTCAATCTGGGCGTGTATTTGGTCAAGTTTAGAAATATTAGTAACGATCGGACTCTCACACATAGTATGTGTGTATGTTAGTCATAGTCCAGTAAATAGTATGGATCCAGCTAAATCAAGGTTACCCTTGGGCATACCCCTGACTGTTGGTTGTGATTCCCAACTGCCTGATGGTTATAGTTTTAGCCCTTGATGACACTTTTGAGATGTTGCTCAGGTTAATGTCTTTAACGTAAGAATGATCATGCTGAATTTTTAGGTAATCCGCAAGAGTGTGCGTCTAAAACACAAAAAGAGGGGTTTTACTTATTTAATGAAAAAAAATTCTGTGAAGATTTCTTTTGTTAAAAAATAAAACAGTTGAAACAACATTCTAGTCTCAGTATTACTTTATTATTATCATTTTTCGTTGTACGGTACAACGAAAATCACTATTTAATCAAACAATAACAAACAAAAGTAATAAAAATTATATAGTACTGTAGTAGTAGGTACTTGCCTGTGTTGATGTGCTGACTTTCCTTTGATAGAGCTGCTGCATCAATATCTAAAGGTTCACTTGATGTTTCACCTTCACCTTCTAAAATGATTGTCAACCATAACAAAATAATTATTAAGATATAAATGCGTAATTTATTTGGAAAAAAAATTCCATGGTATGTTTTCCATACTCATACCATGGAGGTATTATTGAGAAGGAGATCACTCGAAAAAGCTACGCGCACGCAGCGCTATGCAAATGAACCAAGATCAAACCTGCCGCAGCGCGTGAAGAACGTTTGTGCGATGCCTTTGAAGTCCCATGTATTCCCCGCCTTCAAATTTTCAGCAGGCATCATTTACCAAAAAATTGAACATGGCGAAATGGGGAGCACCTTCTTTTCTCGATGCGCACTACATAGAGTCAATCACTATGGCTGCGGAATCGTATCCATTTTGAAGCTGATACATTTATCTCTCATAAAATATCAAACATATTAATATTTTCCACCAAAAACAGTTTCAAAATTTAAAGGAACATTTACATGACCTTTAAAAGTATAGTATATTTCAACTTCAATTTCCATAAATTGGCCAAAATTTGCTAATTCTAATTTTAACATATTAATTAATAAATGATTGAGGATTATAATAAACTAAGTCAATTTAGGGTTAACGAGGGTTAACTATTGAAAAATCAATCCAAAATCTGAGTATTTTTCAGTTTTACGCTGACTTAGCGTTATAGTCGAACTAATCAGTCTTTAGACAAAATTATAATGAACACAGAAGTAATTTTAACATTAATATTTTACGGAATTCGTTCCTGAAATATACAAATAATAACATACCAAAAGTCGGAAAAAATCTAATCATGGGAACACTATTCATTATAAAGATATTTAATGGGTTAAAATCAAACGTTTTATTGCACAACTTCTGTGCTGAAAGCGTATAAATGCATGTCGTTGCCAAGTTGTTGCGAACGAAAAAGTGTAAATTATAGGGTAATACGCCCGCGCGCGATGCAAAAGCAGGGAACACATGGGTTTGTCGCGTCAAAGGGAACTGTTGCAGAGTGATCTCCTTCTCAATAATACCTCCATGGTCATACCACACTGCAGTGCTAAGTAGGCCTAGGCGTTTGGTGTCGAACGCATAAGCTATTATTATTATTATTATTGTCATTGAAGATACAGATGGGGATATGATTGTATTACAGTAAAGTAGCAGTAGGCCCAGGATATATAGAAATTAACTTACCTTTTTTTTGTTGGGCCATCGCTTTTCTGCAAGAGATTTTTGTCATTAATGTCGTCTGCTGCTCTGGCTAAGCTGCTCGCTGAATACAAAATTTCTCGGAACTGCATTTGGTTTTAGTCGCCTAGACGGCTTAGCACCACCTAGTCTAACTCTCATTGAGTCATCTTCAAACATTTCTTTATCAAAATGTTGACTACACTCGAGAATTCGCATTTATATGTGGTCTTGCAACTTCATTGCTGCTATCCATTTACGTAGCAGATCTTTGTCTTGTAGGGGCAATCGGTGGAAACTCGCGTTCTCCAACCCTTTGGATTTTCTCCCTTTTCGGCCTGATGCGTTGCTGCACCCAAATGCCATACAGAATACCATTTTTGCAGACAATATGTCAATGTCAGGTATTTAAAATAATAATGCAATGTAAAAAGCGCGAAGAAGCAAGTAAATAAAGTGATTATTGTAGCTATTCTTTGCGATCGTAGATTAACCATGTGAAGTAACAGTGCGATATGAGCATGAGTACCCGGATGAGGGGACTTCCGCCCCACCAGCGATTAATGCTTCCGGGTTTATTTTCAAGATGGCGGAGCTCAAGTATCGACAACAAAAAAGACGTATAATTTAACTTTTGTACATATGTGAATATTGTTTTTATTTGTTGGATCGACTATTTAATATATAACCAATACATATATATTTCTAAAAAAATTAATTCAGTCTTTTTTAAATATGCATCAATGTCATCACTTTCATTAATTTTAGGAATTTTATTGATGGGGCTATTGGTGCTGTCTAAATGTCAAGGGTAAGACTGAGGCCATTGACCTGATTTTATTAGTTCCAGCTCTAGTTCTTTAGTTAATCTTCATGAGTTCTAGTTCAATCTGGGCGTGTATTTGGTCAAATTTAGAATACTAGTCATGATCGGACTCTCACACATAGTATGTTCGCTGACTTTAGATCAGCATAAGTAAAGGGTTCTATAGACATATCATTGTACGCCTCTCTAGCTTTTCCTGTAAGCTTTGGTAGAAGGTAAAAGAAAAAACTGTTCATTAGGGATCTAACATTGATGTGCAATCCTCTCAAAAGATGTTAAATATGTATCAATGGCATCACTTTCATTAATTTTAGGAATTTTATTGATGGGGCTATTGGTGCTGTCTCAATGCCGCGGGTAAGACTGAGGCTGTTGACCTGATTTTATTAGTTTCAGCTCTAGTTCTTTAGTTCTAATATTCATGCATTCTAGTTCAATCTGGGCGTGTATTTGGTCAATTTTAGAAATACTAGTCATGATCGGACTCTCACACATAGTATGTTCCGAAGTAATATCTTGGGAATTGTCAAATAAG